TAATCACTGAGGTGACATCCCCTCAATGTTGCTGTATTCTATTGTTTAGAACCAACAGGAGGAAGGGGAATGGATTATTAACCAGGGCCAAGAATATTAGGACCAGGGATCACTAGGTTCATCTTAGAAGCTTCCTAACACAAATGTCACCAAGGGCATATGCTTGTATCAATTTTACCACAACCTAACACTGAATGTTTTAGCATTTAAAATTACTAGTATGGGCCAGGTGAAGGGGCTCACACTTGTAATCTCAGCACTTTGGGAGACTTAGGCAGGTGGATTGCTTGAGCCCAGAAGTTCAAGACAAGCCTGGGTAACATAGCAAAACCCTATCTTACAAAATATGAAATTAGCTGGGCATGGTGGCACACACCTGTAGTACCAGTATTAGGGGGACTGAGGTGGGAGGGTTGATTGAGCTCAGGAGGCCAAGGCTGAGTGAGACTCTTCTCAAAAAAAAAACCAAAAACCAAAAACCAAAAACCAAATAACAAAAAACACACACACACAAAGAAAGAAAGAAAGAAAAAATTCTTGTATACAGGACCACCTGCCACACCAATGCCCTCCTCTCCAGCCTGGTGTTTTCCCCTAGGGCCACGTGGGTCCTCTGCTTTCAGTTGTTGCCAAATAACCTCCAAAATATGCCAACTGATAGCAACCTAAAGAATTGTCCTAACTGAACCGGGTCTTTGAAAAGCTTTAAAGTAAAGCTATATTAGGCAGCAGTGGGTTCTTTGGAAATTGCTGGTATTTGGGCAGCAAACTCCAAGATCTGAACACCTTATGCCATTTAGAAGCACTAACATTTCGAAAATCAATCTTCTTTTAAAGCTGACTATATATACCCTCACATTTTGCCAACTTTCTTTCACTTTCTTCATCAAAACCATCCTGTAAGGTACATGGAATACACCTATTTTACAGGTAGAAACTTAGGAGCAGAGATGTGACTCACTCATTCCAGAGGGCCCTGGTAAGTGGTAGGCCAGGATTTGAACCCATGGCTGGCTGCCCACTCTGCTCTCTTCCTGCCTCCTGAGGTCCCCTTTCCTCAGCTGGTGCCTCCTAGGGCTCCATGACACTCTGCCCTTCCATCTGGTTCCCACTGTGGCACCAAACATAGTAGGCTGATTGTCCCTTTCTCTTCAGTTAGTTGCAGGGGTCTCCTTGGAAGTTCTGCTCAGTGACTATTTTTTCCTAATAAAAATAGTGAGCCTGAAGAAGTTACTTCTAACCCAGCATGAGGAAAGGGCTATAAGATAATATTATAATTATATTACACAGTACAAGTTTGCACCATGAAACTTTCAGGCTAAATAGGACAGTATAAATTTAGTGTTTTGAGACTGGTATCTGGAACCAGACTGCCAGCTTCAAATCCTTGTTCTGCCACTTACAAAGTTTTATGATTTAGGGCAAATTTCTTCACCTTTCTGTGATGTTCCTTCTCCTGTAAAACTGAAATAATATTACCAGCTACATGCTCCAATTGGGAATAAATGAGAAAATCTCTCTAAGAACCTAGCACTGTGTCTGGAGGATAATAAAGGCCCCATTGTGTTACTATAGGGACATGGTGGGCAGGAGGCAGGCAGGAGGCCTTGCTGGGTGAGGACCCACGCATTGATATGGAACTCCGGCTGTGATTGACACACACATGGGGATCAGGTGTGTGTGCACCCAGCTCGAGGCAAGGCTGAGTGGAGCCCTGCATTGTGGACACTGGTGGGGTCTGAGGCAACAGGGCTAGGAGGGTCAGTGAAGGGCAGAGCCAACATCAGTGCCATGACTCTAAGACTCCCCTCCCTGTATTCTGAATCCAGATATGCACGTGTGTGTGTGTGTGTGTGTGTGTGTGTGTGTGTGTGTTTGCGTGCATGGAGGGTGGCGGTTGAGGGGGCACAGTCTTTGTGTGTTGATGTAGTTTTCTGCAAGTCGGCCGAGTCCTGGCTCTGTGATTGCTCTGGGATGTCAGGCATCTTTGGAAGTTCATACCCAGAGAACCATCAGCCTGGGATGGGGAGAAGTGAGGCCTAGGCCAGGAGAACAGTGTTCACGCGGGACCTAGGACAGAGTGCTAATGATTCTGGCACACAGCAGGCATGGAGAAGGGTGCAGGGTGGCAGTTACAGGGAGCTGCTTACCACCCGACTTGGCGGCAAAGCCCTAGAGCATGTTTCTTAACGTTTCTGAGATCCACCTCTGACCTGTGTGTAGGGACATAATATTATCACAAAGTCCTCCTAAAGCCTTGCAGGGTCCCTGGTGCCCTAGGTAGTAATCTGTGCCCTACAGGAAGTGACTCATGAGTGTCCTGGTTTCCCCACTGCTGTCAGCAATTGTGGATGACTAGGGCCAGGCCCTGTCCTTGGCAAGTCCCAAGGTGGGACGACAAGACAGGGTCAGATAGGATTCAGAATGGCCACGTCCAGGGAATGCAGCCAGCCTTGCTATAATTGCTCAGAGACTTCAGGAAGCTGGGGCTGTGTCTGTTATAGCTTAGAGCCCTGTTCATTTATGAAAAAATATTGTTTCTAGTCACTGAAACTGCAAATATATATATATAATAGAGAGCCTCAGTCCAGAGCTGTAAACAAGGTACACAATCCTGCCATTGCGGATTTCACATTTCAATGGAGATGCTAAACCGCTATCTCCATGATAATGTCATTAGCAGTAGGGCTAGGAAGAGGTATTGGGTGCATGACAGAGCATAAATGGGGATCTGACATGAGACAGGGAGGCTTCCCTGGGAGAAGCAACGCGTGAGTGAATAGGTGCCCCTGGGCATTCCAGCAGGAGGAACACTAAATAACTGAGCACCGGGCAGGCTGGGAGACAGCAGCTGGGATCAAGGACACAGCGAACATGAAGGCTGTATGGGGAGGAGGGAAGAGTAATTCAGGAGCCAAACTGCAGTGAGGCTAGAATCCAGAGCAAGAGGAAGTGGGGTGCGGGATGGGCAGGAGATGCAGTTTTCACCAGAAAATATGGGGATGTCTCTAAAGGGCTTTAAGCAGGAGTGTCAACTAGTTAAACCTGCACTTCTAGGAACTGGAAGAAGTGGGAAAAGAGTCAGGAGGCCCAGTGGAGATGAAGAAAAGGAGATGGAGCTGAGAGCCACAGGGAGGGAAAGCACCAAGGCTGGGTACTGGGTGAGCCATGCAGTGGGAGGGTGGGAGGGAGGATAGACATGGAGCCCAGCTAACCTGCTGTGGGGCTCTCAGTGGGAGGGCCCGAGACGGCTTGAGCCAGACTGCAGAGGAACGGTGGATGCGCAGAGTGCAGCACGGCAGAGCAATGCAAGCACACGCACACACACGCACACACACACATGCACACACGCACACGCACAAACGCACACACACGAACATGCACACACACACACACACACACACACACACACGGCTGGAAGATGTATGTGCCAAGGTTGGAGGGTGGCATGTAAAGCTTGTGTGAGGACTGGGAACAGCCTGTGAGTGGCAACAAAGTCTGTGACTTGGAACAGAGGGAGCCGGGTAAGCAGCCGTTTCTCTCCACCGAAGGGCTGCCTTCACTGGCTGTTCCTGCAGTACTTAGAAGCAGATGGGCTGGGGGTGGGAGTAGTGAGAAGGGGGAGCCCATCAAATCCAGGCCCCAAACCATACTTCTCAAGAATGAGGTGGCCTCACATGGCCTTGTGGCCCTTTAAGTACAACAGCAGCAGATGGATGACACCCCAAGGGGCCCTGTGAGATGGTGTGTCCCTGAGTGAAAACTGGTTCACACAGCCACTGCCTCATCCATCCACCTATGTACTCCAAGCCTGTGCCCAATGCCATCCTAGGTACCAGGGCCTGGGGAATGAGCAAGGATGTGCTGCCCTCAGGAACTCAGCCTGTCCAGGTCCAGTGTGGGATGAGCTGGCCCAGCACACGGAGCCCCAGTCCACACTGAGGGGCCCAGCAGGGAGGTGTGCCATTCCCACTGCATCTGCAGCCCCCACTGGCTCACTATCCTGTCAAAGTCCCCTGTCAGGAACTGCCACCACTGCGTTCAAAAACTGTCCCAGGGAAATCATAATGTCCAACTAAAAGATGTCATGAAGCCAAACTGGGCTGACTTCCTGATGACAACCTTCCTCACCTTGCCCTGCCGTGGTCTCCTGTCTAACTCAGGGGCCGGCTCCATCCACAACTGGAGCGCTCAAGGAAATAAGCAGGGCGGGACTGCAGTCTCCCCTGGGTCCCGAGTGGGATCAGGCCTGACCCACTGCTCACCTCCATCCCTCTGCTCTACTTGCTGGCCCTGAGAGTCAAGCTCACCCTGACCTTGCTGCCTTTCCTCTCCAAGACCTGGCCATGCTGTGCCCGGGGAGGCTGACCGCTCTGGATGGCGCCAGTGGGCTCCTTCCCTGCAGTGCCTGTTTTGCAATGGTTTGTTCCTTCCTCTACCTTTGGGTGAAGCTCCTGCCAAGTGTCCCGTGCCATAGGTATCTTGAAGTTCCAGGATACCTCCCCTCCCCTTAGGTCCAGGGGCTTTTCCGGTGCCCTCTATCCCTTGCTGGTCTCCCTTTCCCTGAGTGTGCCGTCTGCATCCACAAGACCCTGATGGATACAACACTCTCAAGGCCCTTGCCTTAAAACAGCCTCTCAGGCACACGCTAACTTTTCATCTTGGGTTCTCTAGTCTTTTAACCTCTACCACAGTGGAGGAAAATTGGGATTTGACCACCAGGTAAACTGAGGGGTAGTTCTTCGCTGTAGGAAAGGATTCACATAACCGCAAGTACCTCTGGTGGTGAGGTGTGGCCTGACTCCCACAGCCTGGTGGTGGCATTTAAGACCAAGAAGGAGGCTGGGCACGGTGGCTCATGCCTGTAAACCTAGCACTTTGAGAGCCTGAGGAGGGTAGATCATTTGAGCCCAAAAGTTTGAGGCTGCAGTGAGCTATGATCACCACTGCACTCCATCCTGGGTGACAGAGTAGGACATTCTCTCAAAACGAAGACCAAGAAGGAGGGACGTCTGTTTATTTGCGGTGTACCCTTCGCACCGGGCCCTTATGTTCATGGCCTTACCCGACTCTACAATCTTGCCAGGTAGTTTACATAATCTCCACTTTACAGTTCAAGAAACCAAGGCTCAGAGTCATGGAGAGACTTGCCCAAAGTCCCTAAGTTCATAAGTAGTGGTTATGGTAGAACCTAAGCTATTTCATTCCAAAGGCTGTGATTTTTCTAGCCTGGAGCTATAGGTGCAAAGGCTTCAGGAGGACCCCCAGACTCAGTGGCAGGGTGGTGTCTGCACACGCGGGAACTGTCCTTGTGATGAGCCCATCAGGAGCGGCCTGGGTTGAGCATCACCCTCCACATTTGCAGCAAAGAGTCCCGGCGGGTGGTGTAGGGTAAATGTTTGATGCGGAACCAGTGTCTGGGGACGATGTTCCCGCTGGGTGTATACAGCTCCTCCCCACGCTTGCCCAAGAGACTGCGCAGGGCCAGGTTGCCCGACAGAACCTTCTCATAGAACTCCACTCCACCCCGGGCATAGGCTGCAGAGAGGGAGGCTGTGCGGCGGTCCAGCCAGGCTTCCAGGGCGTGGGTGAGAGAGTCCTTGGACAAGGCATAGGCCACAAAGCCTGCCACTGCTACCAGCAAGCTGAAGGCAGCTCGTAAATTCATGGGGCTTCCATAGAGCCTCAGGGTATACTTGGCACTCACACCCAGTACGCAGGTCCCTGCCAGGTAAGCTGGCGCCAGCAGGGCCTGCAGGGCGGCGGTGCTGCTTTCCAGGTATATCACCTCTCTGGCCAAGGCGAACTTCTGGGCTTCATGGGACAAGGTCAGGGCGTCTCTCAGCCGGGCGCCTGCTGGGGTCCGCCAGTCCACACTCTGCCCATGTATGACCACAGGATGGCCATTGCTGATTACTACGTTCATCAAGAAACTGGCAGGGATGCCCACCACAGCCCCAGCAGGGAGTCTTGGGAAGCCTGCACTCACAGGCTGGAAGGTGAAGGTGGTGAAGGACTTGTAGCAATGGCTTGAAGGGATGCCCATGTCCTGTAGCACCTCTTCGAAGAGGTTCTGCAGCTGTGGAGGGAGCAGGGCTGGCTGGCCCTCAGGCCAGTACTGGTAGAGCCATTGGATGACGGGATCCGGGAAGACATGGTATGAGATTTGAACTCCAAACAGGCCTGTACAGGAACCCACCAAGAGGCCTGTCCTGTGTCTCTGCACAAATGCTGCGGCCCGCGACAGAGGACCTGCCATGAGTGTGGTCACCTCGGACAATCTGGGCCAAGAAAAAACAAGTCAGCTGGTTTCTCTGGGTCAGCGTGCAGACTGAACATCCTCCAGGGGCCACTTCACCTTTTTAAACTGAAGTAACACAGCATAGTGGTGAAGAGTGTGGGCTCTAAAGCCAGAAAGCCTGTGTTCAAACCCCAGCCCCATCTCTGCACATCATTTCCCTGTCTGCCAAACAGGTGTGTCACAATGGCCCACTTCTAGGGTGGCTGTGACAAGCACATGAATGAACATATATAAAACATTTAGTGCCTGGCACAGAAGCAGATACCTTATGATACTGGCTGTAATGACTTATTCCCATTGCTGGGCACAGCACTCCAACTGCCACATTGCATTCATCACATGGTAAAGCCCTATGATTACTAATTTATAAGAAAAACGTGTTCAATTTATTGAGTGCTTACTATATGCTAGACTCAGTTCTGAGCGCTCTAACAATTGAACCCTCACAACCCCACGACCTACCCCTATTTCAAGGCTGTGAAAACTTAACTGGCCAAAATCCTGAGCTAGTAAAGTGACAACATTATGGGCAGAACCCTGCACCCCTCCTCCTCCCCTCTTCCCCAATTCATATATTCAAGTCCTAACCCCTAGTACCTCAGGCTGTGGCTGTAGTTGGAGACAGGGTCTTTAAGGAGGTAATTAAGATAAAATGACGTCGTCAGTATGGATCCTAATCCATTTTGACTGGTGTACTTATAAGAAGAGATTAAGATGCAAACAGGCACAGTGGGAAGATCACATGAGGATCCAGGGAGAAGGCTACCACCTACAAGCCAAGAAGGGAGGCCTCAGAAGACACCGACCCTGTCAACACCTTGGTCTTGAACTTCCAGCCTCCACAACTCCCAGAGGATAAATTTCTACTGGTTGGGCTACCCAGTGGTATGGCAGCTCCAGCAGACTAACACAGGCATAGTATTTGAACACAGGCTGTCAGGTGTCCACAGCAAACTTTTTGTTTTAGAAAACTGGTTATGCTAAATTACAAACATATACCAAAGTAGACAAAATAGTACATCAATCAACTTCAATCCTATCAACTCATGGCCAATCTTGTTTCATTTCTCTTCCGACTCACACCTCCATCCAACTGGTTTATTTAGAAACATCCCAGGCATTCTATCACTTCATCCGTGACCATGTCAGTAAAAATTCACAATTATTGAACTTTGATTGAAACTTACTGTATTCCTGTCCGTGAAAAGTGCTTAATTAGCAATGAGTTGCCGCAAACAAAAATGCAGGGTACCCCCTGGCCTATTTTAATCAAGAACTCCTGTAAGAATCATTGTCATTCGGGCTTTTTATCCCAATGCGGAAAGTGAGGCTAAGAAAGGAAGGGTCCTGGCCAAAGTCCAACATCCCTAGGGCCATCGCGCTGCGGGGTCGGCTAGGAGGCCGTGCCAAGCAGCCCGCCAGTGGCTGAGCGAGGAGGGGCTGCAGGAGCTCCGCACACGGAACCTCGCTATGCTTTCCTGGGCCCCACAGGATACTCCGCAGTCTGAACCCTCTACCGGGTCGCAGGAGGCCGGAAAAGGGTCCCGCCCCGCGGGTCTGCGAGCTCACCTGCTGTGCCGCCGCCCGGGACGCCTACTTGCGCGCTGGGGAGCGAGGCCGCAAAGCATGCCGGCCCTGGATCTGGGGGCGGGGACTTCAGGGGGCGGGGACTTTAGGGGGCGGAGCTCGCTCAACGGGTCTCGGGGCGGGAACCAGGAGCGGGCTGGGGGCGGGACTCTTGGGGGCGGAGCTGGGGAGCTCCAGGGACTGCCCGCGGGCTGCTCCAGGCGCCGCAGAAGCTCCTCCCCTAGCTGTGCACCTTGGGGTGGGTCCGCTAGCACTGCCTCCTCTGCGTTGAAAGACGTCGTTAAAAATGAGCGGGGCGTGGTGGGCGCCTGTAGTCCCAGCTGCTGGAGCGGCTAAAGCAGGAGAATCGCTTGAACCTGGGAGGTGGAGGTTGCAGTGAGCCAAGAATACGCCACTGCACTCCAGCCTGGGCGACAGAGCAAGACTCTGTCCCCAGGAAAAAAAAAAAAAGGAGTCTTTGATAATGCCGTTGAACCCCCAAAGGAACGGCAGCCCCGCGTGGGTCACGAGGCGGCCTATGGTAGAGCCGCCATCAGAGCCCATGCCCATCTGACTGGCCGGCCCGTGTACTTTCCCGTCTGGAAGGGCTCACCCTCTGCGGGGAGCTCTGAGCTTTATGTTTTTATTACCAAGTCCGCTGCCCCCCAGGCTCCTCCCAGGTGCTTTACACTGTACAGTCCACAGAGCAGCGTTGCATCTGTCACTTCTTTACAGCCGCTCTGTGAGGTAGATAGATGAGGGATCAGCCGGTCCGTGCACCAAATCCAACGCATCACCTACTTTTGTAAATAAAGTTTTATTGGAACACAGCCGTGCCCAATCCTTGACAGAAGGTGAAACCAGACTGCCCAGGGTTAAAGCCTGGCTCCACCCCTTACTAACTTTGTGATAAAATGGGTTCGTGTACTTGCATCCCGTGCCTCACGGTTTGTGCCGCCTAGCCATTAGCTATTATTATTAAAGTCTGTTTTGTTTCTGAGACCCCAACTTTAGTTGCTCAGTTGTTTGTATGTAAACAGTGCAATGTGACCTCAGCCAAAGACAGAATGTGGGACAGCCTATAGGGCAAATGATGTGGTTTATCCAACAAATCAATGGCATAAAAAACAGGGAAGGAGGGGGACTCAAAAGAAAAGAGACCTGAGAGAGATACCACAGTTAAATATAATATGTGACTTTTATTGGGATCCTGAACCAAATAAACTAACTAAAAAGACACCTTGGACCGGGCGCAGTGGCTCACGCCTGTAATCCTAGCACTTTGGGAAGCCAAGGCAGGCGGATCACGTGACGTCAGGAGTTCAAGACCAGCCTGACGATGGTGAAACCTCGTCACTATTAAAATACAAAAATTAGCCAGGCATGATGGTGGGTGCTTTTCATTCCAGCGACTCAGGAGGCTGAGACGGGAGAGTCGCTTGAATCTGAGACGGTGGTTGCAGTGAGCTAAGATCGCACCACTGCACTCTAGCCTGGGTGGCTGAGGGAGACTTTGTCACACACACACACACACACACACACACACACACACGACACGGAGAAATTTGATTATTTGAATATTAGAGGATATGAATGAATTATTGCTTATTTTGTCAGATGGGATGACAACATGGAGTTTATATAAACCAAAAAATTCCTACTAGAGATGCATGCTTACGTATTTACAGATGAAACAACACAATGTCTACTATTTGGTTCAAAAGATTCCAACCAAACCAAATCAAAACAAAAAAACAGGGGCACAGAAGAAACATTGACAAAGTATTAGTTACTGAAGCTGCATGACAGATTCAGGGATCTTTATTATACCATGCTCTACTTTTGTGTATGTTTGGAAATTTCCATAATAAAAAGTATAAAAACTTTTTTTAAAAGTAGGCTGGCCAGCTGGACTCCATCAAAATGAAAAACTTTTGTGCAAACTATCAAGAAAAGTGGAAAGAAAATCCACAAATAGGAGAAAATATTTACAAATCATAGATCTGATAAAGGTATAGATCCAGAATATATAAAGAATTCTTAGCAACTTAACAACAACAAGCCAATTAATAAACAGGCAAATAACTTGAGTAGATATTTCTCAAAAAAAAAAACAAAAAAAAAACAAAACAAAAAACCAAACAGCATACACAAATGTGCTCAATAGTATCAGTCACTAGGGAAATGCAAATCAAAACCACAATGAGATACTATTTCACAACCACTAGATTTCTATAACAACAACAACAACAACAACAAAAACCTAGAAAATAATAAATGTTGGAGAAGATGTGGAGAAACTGAAACCCTCATACATTGCTGGTGGGAATGTAAAATGCTGCAGCCACTGTAGAAAACAGTTTAGAGGTTCCTCAAAAAGTTAAACTTAAGCTAGGCTCAGTGGCCTGTGCCTGCAGTTTCAACTACTTAGAAGGCTGAGGTGGATTGCTTGAGGCCAGGAGTCCGAGGCCAGCCTGGGCAACATAGTGAGACACTGTTCTCTAAAAAATAATGGTAATAATTTTTCAAAAAAGTTAAACTTAGAATTACCATGTGAATCAGCTATCCATTCCTAGGAATATACCCAAAATAATTGAAAACAGCTACTCAAACAAATACTTGGACCTAAATGTTCATAGCAACACTATTCACAATAGTGAAAAGGTAGAAACCAAAATGTTCATCAACTGATAAATGGATAAACAAATTATGACATAGTTCATGCAATGGAGTATTATTTTATTTAGTCATGAAAAAGAATAAATACTGAGCCATATTACAACATGGATGACCTGACAAGCATGCTAAGTGAAAGACGCCAGACACAAAAAGACAAAGACTGTATCACTCCATTTATATAAAATGTCCAGAACAGGCAAATCCACTGGGTCAGAGAGCAGGTTAGCGGTTGCTAAGGGATGGGGTAGGGATAATGGGGAGTGACTGCTAACAGGTATGGGCCTTCTTTTCACAGTGATGACATGTTTGGGTATTAGATAGTAGTGATGGTTGCACAACTTTGTGAATATACTAAAACCTGTGAATTTTTACCCTTTAAAATAGCTAAAATGGTAAATTTTATGTAATGTGAATTTTATCTCAATTTTAAAAATGCATATATATGTAGGTTGGCCAATCCTACTGCAGAGCTGATAGAACATTTATCAATCGTTCAACTGAAGTGCCTGGAAGAGTTATTTCTCAGGAGTCAGGAGTGAGGACCTGTGGGTAGGCAGACGTTCTGCCTGAGGCTGAGCTTCCCAATCAGAGTGTGTGGTCATCTGCATCCAGTGCTTGGGTACAACCAGCTCCAACAACTCCCTCATCACTTTCTGGATATCTGAAACGCTCCCTCTTACGTGTTCTTTTACTTATTCATTTAGCTCCTACCCAGTGCCAAGTCATGGGGCAAAAATACGGATAAGAAAAAGCCACAGCCCTCAGGAGCTCCCCTCTAATCCTAGCTACTTGGGAGGCTGAAGTGGGAGAATCGCTTGAAACTGGCATGTGGAAACTTCAGTGAGCTGAAATCGAAATCGTACCACTGCACTCCAGCCTGCGTAACAGAGTGAGACCCTGTCTCAAAAAAAAAAAAAAAAGCCTGTGCGTGGTGGCTCACGCCTGTAATCCCAGCACTTTGGGAGGCCGAGGTGGGTGGATCACGAGGTCATGAGATCGAGACCATCCTGGTCAACATGGTGAAACCCCGTCTCTACTAAAAATACAAAAAATTAACTGGGCATGGTGGAGCGTGCCGTTATCCCAGCTACTCAGGAGGCTGAGGCAGGAGAATTGCCTGAACCCAGGAGGCGGAGGTTGCGGTGAGCCGAGATCGTGCCATTGCACTCCAGCCTGGGTAACAAAAGCGAAACTCCATCTCAAAAGAAAAAAAAAAAAAAAAAAAAAAAAAGATAAGACTTTATCCTTACTGGAAAATATCTTATTTTCTTACATTTGCAAGTGCTGAATAAATTCAAAATATAAAATAAATGAATAAGCAAACCCTTACTGAAAGTTTGGTCAAATCTGCAAATAGCAGAGAGGAGGGGATGAGAAGTTGAGTGCCCATTTGGGATCTGGGACAAAACCACAACGTGAGACAAGTTAGTACGGTTGTGTGATTCTTTCCAACAATGCTGGGGTGCTCAGCTACAGGAATGAGTAGATGGGATAGTTGGGTTTACTTAGAGCTGGATTTGCCAGTCAGGTACAAAGTGGAGAGTAAGGGACAAGGTTGGTGAGGGTGTTTGCAAAGAGGTGATTATGTAATGATGGACATGAACTCTCAGCTGGAGAGGAGGACAGTGAGGGCCTGTGGGGTGACTATTTTACTTGACACCTAAATGTTACACACCATGTGTGCTGCACTGCTCTAAGCACTTTGTTCCTAGACACTTTGCAGCAGGAAGAGATGGTGAGATCATTGGCCTGGTGGAGCATAAGGAATGTTCTAATGGGGTCACCGTGGTAAGCCAAGTAGAAGTATAAGGAGGTGAGTACGGGGTGGGTGGGAGTCTTGAAATGGACCTTTCAGAGGTGGTATCAATGTTGGTGATGACAAGGTCAAGGGCATGCATGTCTGTGGGAGCTGAGGTGGGGTGGAAGAGAAGAAGATGAAGAGTTGAGGGGTGTATTAATCATGTTTTTAATTTTCTATATTTTATGAAGCTTTAGCATCTGGAAGGCCTTGCTAATCCTGGAAAGACTCCCACTCCTAGGGCTAGCTAGGCCCTAGTGATGGCAAATGACTCTCCCAGGAGCATGCCTTTCATACGCAAACCAACCAATCCACAGCCCATACACTAACCACCTCTTTTATTTAGTTTTCACACTCTAAGTCAGGTGTCCCCAAACTTTTTACACAGGGGGCCAGTTCACTGTCCCTCAGACCATTGGAGGGCTGCCACATACTGTGCTCCTCTCACTGACCACCAATGAAAGAGATGCCCCTTCCTGAAGTGCTGCGGGGGGGTGGGGGGCGGATAAATGGCCTCAGGGGGCCGCATGCGGCCCGAGGGCGGTAGTTTGGGGACACCTGC